TATTATACTTAATACGTAGTAGTATCTACAACTATATAATAATATTTAGTTATAGTATAATATATATATATATATATATATATATATATACAGTGTGTGTGTGTGTGTGTGTGTGTGTGTGTGTGTGTGTGTGTGTGTGTGTGTATATATAAATGTGATTTTCTTGAATGTTTCAAATGGTTTTTAGTTGTTTGATTATACAAATTAGTCTTGTACAAAACTGTATCAATGAAAATATTTACAATAAAGGTTATATATACATACATACATACACACACACGTTTTTTTTGTTTTTTTTTAAATAGAGCCAAGAGTTGAATTGGATGTAGTTTCTCAAGGGGAAAAGATATATGTCTTGAAACCAGATAGAAATATAGATCTAGTCAGAATTACTGGTGCCAGGGAGAGGTCAACATTTCTTGAAGGAGAGCGTGTACTTTTAGATAAGGCCAGTCAAGGTGATTTTGGCACTACTAAATTAAAAAGTGGAAAAATTTTTATTGTTGAAGATGCAGATGGTAAAGACACAAACAATTTGGACAATAACTCTCTTTTATATGGTACCCATAAGAAGAATACATCTTTTAAAGGATGCTCAATAAAACATAAAAATGTACAGGTAAGAAACTCACATTTACAAACAAAAAGGTTTTAAAATTAACTCTAAACATCCAAAAGTTAATCTTGAACTTAAAGCTTATAGTGACAGTGGACAACTGAACTTCTGTTTGCCCTTCAGTTGATCAGGTATAAGCCTGTAGGTTTATAATGCTCAAAATCAGGTTTTGTTACCTTTGGTGGGCAGAAACAGATAGCCCATTGTGTAGCTTTGTACTTAATAACAAACAAAGTACTTTTACTTAGGAAGTGAATGCAAGGTATTCCGTAAAATTATCTAGTTGTTTTCACTTGTCTTATTTATGTTTCTGTTTAATGTTTTTAAGGAACAATTTTCCAAATAATTAGCCAGCCTAGTGCAAAAATAAACCACTTTACAATTAAGCCTCATAAGTCTGACTTATTTCTTTGTATGTGCTTTAAAAATAGAAAAACATCTATATGTTACCCACTACATAAAAATTAAAGAGTTGTATCCCTATAATGATTTTTCTTAATTCATAAAATTTGCTTTTCAATGCATATTTTTTTTTTACTATTTTCATTCAGCCTTTTATTAACCTTTCTTCATACTTTAGGTACCAGAGAATTACCAGAGTCATTACAGTTATGCTGTTGCAGAGTTGCAGTCAGGATCCACGGATACTTCTAGAGCTTCTTTTGCATAGATTTTTTTCAAATATGAAAACTATTCAGGACTTGATAGTAAGACATGCGACCAATATTCATTCAATATATGAGAAATTTAAGAAATGAAACCATAACACACACAATTAGACAGGCACTGACCGAACAGTTTGTGTGTACCTAAGAAAAAGTCAGTAGTTCCATAAAAATGGAAAAGCTGATGAGAAGCATCACAAAATATTTTTTTCTCTACATAAACAACTTTCATCAGTAGAGATCATACAAAACACATGCAAGTTTTTACTATTTTCATTCACCCTTTTATTAACCTTTCTTCATACTTTAGAGAGAATACTGAAATAAAGAAATGTTGGCAAGCGTAATATACATAAATAGAGATAACCAGTATGTTATGTAAAAATAATTTTATGTAGCTTTAGCCTATGAAAAAGTTAATAGAAAAACAATTCTTCTTATGTCTATAAAGATGAATATCAATGCAATTTATAATAACTAATCTAGTTTCATGTATAAATTTTACTTGACATTCTGTAAGACGTATAACTGAGCCAACCTTTTCAGAACATCTTGTTCAAGACTAACTCTATGAAATACTTCAATCTTTCACGTGTGATTCATACAAAAGAATGATAATTTTCTTTTCTCAACAGCACAGGCTGACTGTAATTGGTCACATTTTCAAAACTTTCATGAAGCAGTTAAAACCAAATATGTATTATTGAAGAACATTTCAGTAAAAATCATGTATAAATCCATACTGTGCACTTGGACCTAATGTGTGCCAAACTTAATATACTTCATGTATCCTACCTATTTATAAGCCATATTAAAGTTGTATCATATATCTGGGAATGAAGAAAATAACAGTACATGGTATGTTATCAATAAATGGCATTATTTATAGCAATTATGTTAATTTGAAATTCCTGCTAATTAGGTCAACGTGTAGTTCATAATTTCACAAAAGCAAAGAAAAATATAAATTATATTAATTAGGTAAATGGAGTTTTACAAATTAATTAACAATGTAGTTCAAGAATTTCAGTTTAAAAGGTAAATGTATAGGTAAACAATTTTGCTAATTAAGTGAAGACGTTGTTCAAGAATTCTACCAAATACATGTGTAGTTCAGAATTGCAGCTTAAATGTATAGGTAAATATATAGGTCAGAAATTTTGCTAATTAAATGAAGATGTCAAGGCTTTTCAATTTAGCAGGAAAACATACAGTTGAGAGATTTTTTATATGTGTGTGTATTTGGCAAGCTTTACAAAAGTACTGTTATAAATAAATGCACCTAACATTTTATATGTTACAAAAATATAAGTGATTCCGAAAGTAGCATGAGTGCTGACTGGTGTGACCTTATTAAAACTACCCCCCACCATGTAACCCATTACAGCCATGTTATGAAACCTTGTACAGTACTGACATGTAATAAAGATATCTTAAAATTATTCCAAAATTTGTATGGTAACTAATGTAGGTAGAAAAGACACGAGTGTTAATCAGACTTAGTCAGATTGTGGTATTAATAATAAGACAAATGAACTTTAGAAATCTGACATAATGAAAAGTAACAGTGCTTTTAATTCTTATTAAAAAACTAACTAATGATCTAGTAACCCCTTTAGAAGAGAAAATTTCTGTTATTAGGACTTCTCTCACAAAAACACACACACTAAAAATCAACATTCTGCTCACTTTGAGACTATGGGTGAATTATAACAATAGTCCAAACGTTGGCAGTGGGTGCTGTTGACTAGCTGCCTTCCTTCTAGTCTATCAGTTCAAAATCAGAACCGCTGATGCCCTAATTTAACAGGTATATTTAAGAGTAAAAAAAGTTGCATGTATTAGGGATATCTTTATAAACACAAGTCATATTACCTTCTGATCACTTCAAGTACATGTTAATATTTATTAACTTTAACACTGATATATTGTTCTTGGTTAGTCTTGTAATGCAGTAGAGCAAGAATCACTAATTTTAAAATAAGAGTCTTCAAAAAATTTGTATCTTAAAATGTATGGGTAAATCAAAATTACTTCAAAAACCTAAAATAACCCTTTAATTTCGATGACGAGGAACCCACTTTGAGACTAATAATGGCTGGAGACGGCTTGAATGGGTAATGAAGAAAAACTTTAATATAATAGTAAATGTACACCGTTTCGACAAGGTTTGTACCTGATGATGTCGAAACGTTG